GACTCGATCAGAAAGCATGAAGAGCTCGATCTGAGAGCATAGCAAGAGCAGAAAGCATGAAGAGCTTGATCTGAGAGCATTGCTCGATCAGAAAGCATGGGGAGCTTGATCTGAGAGCATAGCTCGATAAGAAAGCATGGAGAGCTTGATCTGAGAGCATAGCTCGATTAGAAAACATGAAGAGCTTGATATGAGAGCATTGCTCGATCAGAAAGCTTGGGAGCTAGAGAGCTAGTGAGCTCTTTATAATATGAGAGATTTAAGCACGTGATCTGAGTGATTTGGCCACGCGATCTGAAGCTGAATATCAGAGTGATCTAAGCATGCAATTTGAGCGATCTGGCCACGTGATCTGAGAACTCTGATTTGGAACATGCTTTAGTATTTTGATGATAACTTGAGCTGTAGACCTTATATTTGGATGATTCTTGGACCTTCGAAAAGCTAACTCAAAGGGCTACAATTCTTATGTTTACCACTTATCTAGATTCAGACTTTATCCTACTCAGATTTTCACATTTGATGACATGATTCTAGATTAAGAAGCTGGGATTTGTTGAAGAAGTTAAGACTTGAGGGAAAAACATTGAGAGCTGTTGTGAATCAGGCCCTTCTTCTAGCGCCAAAGTGTTGATACAAAAATCTGCACCAACCAGAGAATTCCGATTGACCCTGTCGGAACCGGAATGGATGTGCGTGTGATTTGGATAACTAGCAGTGGATAAATAATAAATGCAATAAAGTAAATGGCAAAGAGATTTTTAAAGTGGTTCAGCAAGTTAGAACTTGAGCTTACATCCACTGTTATCTTATTGTTTTTGAGAGTTTACAAAGAATAGTATAATTCATAAGAAAATTTCCTTAGAACAATTGCCCAGCCCTTCTTGAAAACAAGGTATGATGGGTTTATATAACACCCATTTACATGATAGAGTTGAGATAAGATTCAAATACGTAGGATTATGAAATTGCATGATCTTCGGCTACCTTAGTTGGAATCTAAGTCAATCTGAATATCTTCCTTCCAAATTGAGTTAATCTAAATGTCTTCTCTCCTAATAGGGAATTATCCTCTCCAGATTGACCGCACAACAGTATGATTAATTAATTCATTATAATATTACATTATAGTATGATCACATAATTAATTATAACCATTACATAATGAAATGATTATTTAACTAATTATAAACATTAATAATTTACTACATTAGTACGATATTTAATTAAATGATTAGAAATTTAATTAATTATAACATTACATTATAAACAAATGATTACTTAATTAATTATAACATTCCATTATAAATATTAGTAAAATACTTAATTAAATAATTGAAAATTTAATTAATTATAATATTACATTAAAGATGTATAGTATGATTACTTAATTCATTATAACATTACATTATAGTATGATCACATAATTAATTATAACCATTACATAATGAAATGATTATTTAACTAATTATAAACATTAATAATTTAAAATATTAGTAAAATACTTAATTAAATAATTGAAAATTTAATTAATTATAATATTACATTAAAGATGTATAGTATGATTACTTAATTCATTATAACATTACATTATAGTATGATCACACAATTAATTATAACATTACATAATAAAATGATTACTTAATTAATTATGACATTATATTATAAACATTAGTAATTTACTATATTAGTACACTGCTTAATTAATGATTAAAAAATTAATTAGTTATAATATTACATTATAGATTTATAGTATGAGTACTTAATTAATTATAATATTTCATTATAAACATTAGTACAATACTTAATTAAATGATTAGAAATTTAATTAATTATAATATTAAATTATAGATTTATAGTATGATTGTTTAATTAATTGTTTGTGTTTTGGTTTTGATTGACGAATTTTATGTGAATTGTGATGAATTGATTGAATTCAAGTGTTGCCTAGAGATTAGAGGATTTATGAGTCACATTGGATACAATGAATGAGTAATCAAAATTTGTTAGGGGTGTATTTGTAAACTTTTAAGGATTTTTTGTCATTTTTAAACTAATAGAGGGTAATTGATTTTTTATAAGATACCTGAGAAAGGAACCGGAACCTGCATTTTAGATTCCGGTTCCTTGAATTTAAGAACCTGTACTGTATTGTGCGGTTCCGGTTTCGGTTCCTTTTTTTAGGAATCTGCACTGTATGATTCTGGTTTCGGTTCCATTGAAAAATGCAGGGTACCCGAAACCGCTCACCCCTAGATTTGGCTTGATTTCGAAGAAAGAATTTCGGATTTATAAGGGTTTCAGGATAGGCTTGGGTTTGGGCCCTTATAATTGAGGCCCAAAAAGCTGCTTTGCATTTGTGGGTCTTGTGTCTTCCTATATTTCAGTCAGGCCCAAATTGGAAGAAAAATTTAGAAGAAATTTAAGACGAGAGAGACAGAGAGAGAGAGCAAAAAGACTGGACTTGACCGTGTCATATGGCAGTTATAGTAATATTCCAAATAGACCACTAAAGATTGTGTTTCCATCGATAAAACACATATTGAACAGGGGTGTATGTGATAAAAGTGCAAACTGGCGAGAAAGTGGAAAGAGATACCAACATTACTATTAGGGTATATCAGATGCCACATTACTTTGCTTCTTGTTCCTAATAGTCATCCAAGACTCTGATGTCTCCAAATGAATTTTGCACCTTACTAATCACCGTTCTCACAATTGTTTGCTTTTCTCGTGCAAAATTGAACATGGGCTCATAGTTTATAGTTATGGAAGTGGGCTTTTTTGGATCGCTTTCATTCTATTCGGTTGTTACTTTACGATGCCTACTAGAGGTATTCAAAAAAATGCAAAAACCGAACCGAACTGGAAAACCAGTTAACCGAAAAAATGATTCGGTTACGGTTCGAAAAATTCAAAAAACCGAATTTTCGATTTGGGAAAAAATAAAAAACGGTTAACCGAAACCGGTTTTTTGAACCGGTTATATATATATATATATATATATTAAATAAAAAAATAATTTCATTTCGGACTTTTATTTGTATCAATTTTTAATGTATTGTTAGTAGTGGTCAATGGATATGTATGAATATTTAATTTTTATTTAGCTATGTATTGTTTATATTAACAATTTAATTTAGGAAAAAATTAAAAAGAATAAGTTTTATAAAAAAAAAAAGGAAAAACCGGTTCAAAACTAATTAACCGCTTTTTTTAAAGTGGTTAACTAGTTTTTTGGTTAACCGAAAAATCGGTTTTTCCTTTAAACTGGTTTGATTTTGGTTCAAAAATTTTTCAAAACCGAAAAATCGGTTAACTGCTTCTGAACACCTCTAAATTGCCTATAAAACAGTGGTGGGGATTGGTTTTGTTTTCCCAGGTCAGGAATCTACTAGTGATGGGCTATCTGCGGCCGTTGACTCTGGGGTTTGAAATTTCAGTAAGAGAGTTAGGCCGTTGGATTGGATATGCTAGCATAACAACCTTTTGTCCTCTCCTGTTGTCACCTTTTGCAATACAAATACAGACATTATATGTAACAGCTTATGTTTTTCTTTTCTTTTCTATCATCCAAACCTTTCTCACATCTCACCCTACTTTGCAAACCCTAATTCAAAATTGAAACCTCTTCAAAATCCAGAAGTTCCCCACTTTATTTTGAAACTTCTGGTTTTCGAAAAATGGGAAAATAATGATCTTTAGTCATATTCATGAGAATATTCAATCCTCGAATTAAAGGAGATTTGATCACTTAATTTAAGGTCGATGAATATTTTATAAATTCTAAGCCTCAAAGCTATAATGCAAAGTCCAAATCATGCTCAACCAACTTTTAACTAACATTTTCACTTTGATGGCTCTATACAAAATTGACTTAAAGGCAGTGGACCTTGCTGTCTAAGAAGATTGGTCGAAGATTGAAAAGATATGGACAAGTAGTAGCTAATGGAAGGGAGGCCATTAGCTGATATTATGACAAGTGTCAAAAAACCCATGTCCAGTTTTTGTACACGTAATTTCCTTTGGTGGTTTTTCTTAAAACCTTATCAAAGTGTTGCAAGTACTTGAATGTAGGTGACTGATGAAATTTGTTTGTTCAATAGAGGTATTATCATTAGTTCAACAACTATTATTGTCATTTGAATTATCAAATTTAGTCTCTTCCATTTTAGATGGGGAATATTGATATAGCATTGACATGGACCTCATTATCTTCAACATTTGGTCAATTTTGGATCTATTATGTTGTATTTTTGGAATATAATTTTCTTTGTAATTGCCTCTCATGAGACTTAAACACAAGACTTATAGGTATAGCTAACCTCAGTAGCTAAATGATTTGTTATTCAACTACAACGCGAGAGTCAAGAGCTAATCTAGTTAATTTGGTGTACAGGTTTGTAATTGTTTGACTTCCAAAACAAATTTTGGGGTGGTCAAGGAAGAGATTCGTTCAAATTGTGATTGTGACATAAAATTTACATCTTGTTATTATTTTATTACCAAGTTAATAATGAAAGAATCAATTTAATTAATTTAATAGTAGTTTCATTATTTAACTCAACAACTAATGATAATTATGTTCTGCATGTGATGATTATAAATTGGATTATATACTGCTAATTAACCATTTAACCTTTACAGAAATCGTGCCTTTCGGCAAATTGGTGGTGTAAGATTTATATATATTTGTATTGCAGAAGTAAATAACAAATCAGAGTGGCGCAGCGGAAGCGTGGTGGGCCCATAACCCACAGGTCCCAGGATCGAAACCTGGCTCTGATAAAAGAGTAGCTTCTGCCCATCCATTATTTTTTTTTTTTTTTTGGAGTTCTGCATGATTTGTTGACTATAGTCTGAGGAATATGAGATTCCTCTTCTATAGTATATAATGAGTTAGACCTATCAGTTATTAAAAAGGATTTACTGAAAAAAGAGAACAGGTCCTGCTTCAACATGTGCAATTACTTTTATCATTGATGAATAGAAGTCTAACAATCCATATACGATTTTATACATTTGAAGTTATTGCTACAAAGGAGATACAATAAAACAGATATCTCCACTTCCCTTACAGGAACTATCATTTTTGTCATCATGACAGTAATTTATCAGATTAAGAACGGTCCCTTATTTGTTTCTTCATCACAAATACTGAAAATTATACCAACATCAATGCAAGATTTCGAGTAATTTATTCGTATCATTTCTGTTTAATCTTCAAAGAACTTGCAATAGGATCAACTTGAAGGGACTACAGAAAGTTCCAACCGCCCTGTCCATTCTTCACCTGGCTTCAAAGTGATTGGTTTTTCAATTGCTGCCCCATCAGCGCAAAGCATCTGTTTGAATTCTTCATCTCCAAAATCCACCATGGATTTTGATTTCTTCTCCCATGGATTCCATACCACTGAGTAAAATCCAAAGAATGAAGTCAACGTTTGTCATGCTTTCCAATTTTGGGTTGGGGTGGGATAATAAGTGAGGTTTAGTATTACCTAAATTGATAGAATGTCATATGCAGATATGCTTTTCTTTGGTGGGTACTATAAGCTATTAAAGACTACCAATATAGTTTGGCTTCAACATGAGTAGAGAAAAGCTTACCGACATCTGGGAGTCCTTCTTTGCGTATAGTAAATGTCCGTTTTCTTTCATGATCAAATATTGCAATCACATCTTTCGAATTAAGATAAACCCGATCAACCTGCAAAATTGGAAAGCATCTAAAAAAGTGAGAACTTTCTGCAGCAGCACTGATGAAATATAGTCATGCACATCTATGAGATCTATATAATGTGGTTGCATATAGAAGTTCCTTTTCCTATTTTATCACCAGAAGGTTCCTTTCTAATAAGCTTTTAAATATTACCTCAGATTCAAATGTTAAGGCATCTCCCTGTTCGGTGAAACGTTCCTTTTGACATAAGTTATCAAGATAGTCAAGAGTCTCCAGCCCTTCTATCCGCACTTCACTGTTAGAACAAATAATATGCTTTATTAGTGCTGATCATCATTATACAAGGTTTACTGAAGCTTTAGCAGCATTTCCATCCCTAACAATAGCTTTCAAAATAGATGCTTAAAAGTAGAATCAATCATATTACCACTATGAATATTCATATATACCTGATATCAGAGATGGAGAAATATGTATGGTAGGCAATTGAGAAACTAAATGGCTTGCAATTGATATTCCTGATGCGTGAAATCATTGTAAGATACCCATCGGCTGCCAATGACACCCTAAGACGAAACTCTAAACTGTGAAGGACAAATCCAGTCATTACAATTAAGTACAACTTGACAGAATAATTAGTCAAATAATTTTGGTGAGCAATTGGTCCAGGCTCTACTGTTCAACATTATGCAGGTTAGCATCTTTGAGATGTACTCAATTAATTTGCAGGCGCATAATGGTTTGTAGCTATATAGTTAGATCTACCTGTGTGGCCAGGTCTTCAAATCTTCTTCAGATGACTTAAGCAGCAGATCAACATACGTCTTTCCAAGGGAATCACTGGGATGCAAAGGTGGTGGATTGTCATCAATGACCCAAATCTTGTTCCTGGCAAACCCATGTTGCTCTAGTGATCCTCGGTTCCCAAACTAACACATATTGGAGAGCAAACTCACAAATTAGGCATGTCAAGACTATGACAAAACTAATACATTTGAGCATCAAAATACCTGTGGAAAGCATATGGGTATTCCTCCTCGCACTGCATGTGGCGGCTTGAAGATTGCCTGGATTTAATAGAATTCATAGACAGAAGAGACAAGAAATTGGAAAATCAGTTAATGTTTATAGGATTTATAAGATATATCATGCTTTGACACAATAGTAAAATATCACCCACCTGGAATACCTATACTACAAATTAAGTTACAATGAAATGGAAAATAGAAAATTCAGAAGTTTACCTTAGTACTTGTGAATAACAACTCTTCTCCCCTGTCGGTTCTCCATGAGAGCACCTGTCCTCCATGTAAGCTAATCTGGAAAGATGTCACAGCATCAACTTATGAATCAGAAGATGTATTTTTCTAAGCTAGCCAAAGCAGCAATTGGCAGTCAGAATTTTATAACCGAATGAGTTGGAAAGATTACAAGATTAAAATGAGTAAAAACTAAAGAGGAAAAAGATTCTGACCGTTGCAGAAGCCCCTCGAGGGTTCCGAAGCACAACCTGACCGATTCCATTTCTATCCTTGGTAACTTCAACTGCTGGTCTCTGATCATTGGCTGCCCCAGAATGATTCATAGTGAAAATATAATAAGGACAATATAAGAGGAAACAAACAAGACAGAACTCTCTCGCCCTCCTTCTCAATCCAAAACACAATGATTGAAGCAAACTTTGGAACTCCAAAAAGAAATGACCTGGGGATTGGTTGGATCTACTGAGTAGTACAAGAGTTTTTGTGATCGAATTCTGTTTACATCAGGTGGGAAATGTTTTGGCCTGAATTTGTGAGCTTGAAATATTAAAAAGAGGGCTTTGTAATCACTTGAGCAGTTGAGAAAACTGAACTTGCCCCAACACTTTTCTTGTGACACACCAATATTGTCGTGAAATGAAACTGAAATTCCAACTACTTTAAGTCTTTCTTCACCGCCAAAACTGCCAGCAACGCACAAGTCTCCTCAAAGACTCGATCTTGGTAATATTGATTTCCTTTGCAAACTACCCAGAACTCACTTTCAAACATTATCAATATCTATCAAAGCAACAGAAAAATAGAGAACGAAGATGACCGACAATAATAATTACCCAGATAGACAAAACCTCTTTCAATGTCAAAGCTAGAAACCAAACAGCGGTTCCAATAAGGCCAACAGTGGCTCCAATAAGCCTAACAGTGGCTAATTCGCACTCAAATTCCTTCAACTGCCCTGTTTCAAACAAAGACAATTATGACCAAAGCCGTTATGTGAATATGTCTACCAAATGGGAAGAAGAATTCTAAGGCAGCAACTTCTTAACTAAAAGTTTGAAAGGTCAAGAAAATGTTTCTGAATAAAGACTCATCCAATATCTGGTCCGCCTTTATCCCAAAAATAAAGAAACAATTGAAAGGTCAGATTTTGAAGAGATCATTATAATATCATCCTCATGTATATCTAAGAAGGTGATTTGACTGATAATTTTTTGGTATTTCTTTTCTGTACGAAATTATTAAAATATTTTTAACAAAAAAGAAAAAAAAAACACTCTGCGTTGAAAGTGGAGGTGCGGTGGCTTCATCACCTGATGTAGACTCCAGTCTGAACATGCGACCATGATTAACTGAATTAACTACCCTTTGAAAAATAAATAAAAAATACAAAGTTTTGGTGCCAGAAGATTCCGCATTTGCGATGTAACTTCAAATTTTGGAAGTTTTCTTCGATAAAACCAAATCCATGCGTCAATTTTGCTCAGGCGGCGCCTATAATATGTATTTCTATGATGATGATCATAGGCCAGCATGCGATGTTTGTTTTTTTCTCTGATAGTAGCGTGCATATTTTCTAACCCCAATGCTAAGTTCACGAACTTGTTCCATTAGCTTGTCTCAATCTCTTAGTTTACGCAAGTTGAAAAGATTGCCATCATCTCTATCGTTTTGTTTGATTATTCTTGACTTTATTTAAGCCAAGTTTTAAGGATGCCGAAATTAAGGACCACAGGTTACAAACCCAGATGATATTTTCTGCTTTCTGTTGCCACAAATTAAACTTCAAAAAGAACTTAAAAGGAAAATCAAAACTGAGGAGTCAATGTTATCTAATTGAGGATGATTCCTTTCTTAGTCAACACAGTACGAAGGCATGCATGTAAGCACAAGGTTCAATGCAGAACTTAGGGCCATATGCATGTATCTAGTTGTTGAAAAAATGCCCCCTTCAGCAGTCATTGTTTGGCCCACGGCAGAAACTTTGGCTCACAAAAAGGCGATGTCCATGAATTCACCTAACATATATTCCAAAGGTGGGCAGATTATAAACATCCTTTAAAGATGTAAAAGAAAAAGTATTTTATAAAATATTCAATCAAGTTTTGACCTAACCTTTTAAAAGATGAGAAACAAATGTAATACTAAAAGCTTTTAGATTATTTCTACTTGGAATTTGCTTCAAGGAGTACTTTTCATATTCACCGCTACCTCACATTCAAAGATAAAATCTTATTGGAGAGAAAATACCAGCCATAGAAAAAGCTCCATTGGTAAAATTCAAAAGGCATTTAATTTAGAAACGCAACAAAGTCCACATGGGAGTACTAAGAAATTAGACGACAAAAAAGTACCAGACCTTTGAAATATTAATAGCTTTTTGTGCTGCCACGACATTCATCTGTTTGCAAAGCAAGCGAAGTGAGGTGCACAAAAGTACAAACGTTTCTTGCACATCACGTGAAAAATCAAACAAACTTTTGTTAAGCTTTGTCATTTACAATGGTTGACAGTAACTTATCAGACTCTTCTATCACCAAGCAAAACTCTTCAATAAATTTAATGAGAATCAAGTTGGAATACAGAGCCATTACAATACACCTTGTGTGAATTCTTTCAAACTTTACAAGGATTGCATCTATGTTACCTGATTCTGGAGCTTTCGGTGGAATCCTATAGTGTACGGGTATTTTTTCTCACAAAATTCTCTTAAATAAAAAATCCAAGCTTGTACCTGAAATAGACTTTTGGCAGGTGTCGATGCTGTATTCTTCATTTCATCGCAAACAGGCATTCAACATAACGGACAAAAGAATGGCCTCGGTAAATATACCAGCTATGTTACAAGTTAATTGGCAAGGCAGATCACACAGCTGCACATATGGCTCCTGGAATATTAAAAACGTTAAAAGTACTTTTTACATAAAGCTTGTTAATTTTTTGGCATTTATTCTACTTGAAAGAGACCGTTTGTCTTCCTTTGAAAATCAATGCATCTTGTGCATAATATGTGTGTCGGTGTCTTTATGGATGTGCATATGTATGTGGAAATAGAGATAAACCTGGTGACCGGGCATAGCAGCAAAACTTCCAGTCATTAACATATGACACGTCAAGCCCAATAAACCATGATCCAGCACTGATATCATCATGTGCATATGTTTGAAGAAGAGATCTGCAACACCAAGATTGGATGGTCAATGTGGTCTAGCCTATCATGTCTGTGTTTCTGAGTAGCATATAATACCGATATAGAGACAGTATCAAAAAGTGGAGTAAATTGCACCTGTTAATTGAAATAAACTGTCCCAAAGCTCGTGAAAAGGCAAACATGTCACTTGCAGCATGTCGAAAGTATCTAAACCATCAAGAACATGTTATGTGATCGATATAAAATGCATATGAAATTGCAAAATTTCAAGAACAAGTAGTCACATAATTGCCATTTCAAGTGATGCATGTAGATTAATAATGCATCTAACAACAGTGCGACACTCCTGTTAATATTTTGTTATCCATGGAACACAAGATCTCCGCACAGCAAATTCATAAGTTTCAGTGGTTAATAATATGTCCTTTATGTTACTTCAACAGAGTAATTCCTAAGTTGGATTGCAGTGATAATCATATACCATAACAGAGCAATTTCCTGAATGACAAAAATACCCCTTAAATTTTACAACCAGCCATGCCCAATGCTTCCCTATCAGCAATGAACCAAAATTTAAAGTCATCGATATGAACACACTGAATGTCACCACCTAGGATGACTCTTAAAAGAGCTATTCTTAAAGGCAAATGATGCACAACAAATATTTTCCTCACTTCATCTGTCCCAACAAACATTCATGAGTGTCAGAGTGCCAACTCTTGTCTATTCCAAATACCGCTTCATTATGATCCCTAATTTTTCCTAGAATAAATTTTCTTATGCTTAAAATATTTCACAAAATTTAAATCTCCAAGAAATATCAAGGTACTTTACAAAATAAGACGATGAAGCATACTTCAATTAGATGAGAACAGTATTAATTTTTTTTAAGATGAACCAAACAACTACCAGCAATAAATATGCAGAAGCATACAGACAACTAGAATTGTCGCCTTAAAGATTCACAAGCAAGTCACTCTCATCTCAAATTGAAAGCCTTAATACAACAGAACTATCACACTAAAAGGAGCAGCATAAACTATTAAACCGTATTATGTTTACATACCCTTTTCCATCACCAAATTTCCACCAGTCTGGTTCATACCATTGGTTGGTCCTACAAACATAGATAACATCAGTAGTATAAATAACACTAAAATTAAAAACTACCACTTCATTTCTGAAACAACTAATAGCAAATTGTGACATTTTGAGGAACTCACGGCTCAGAGAATACTTTGCCTGATTTCATGCATCCAATATAAACACGAGGTTCACCCAAATGCAGAGAAAGCATGGCTCCCAGGGCATCTGTATGACAAATGAAGAAGAATCTATATGAACAGTAAGGAAAGCAAACAGCTTGTTGAGTTTCACACAATTTCCCCATTTTTAAAAAATAGCATTCATTTTTCATTTCTTTTCCTTTTGGCCTTTCAAAATATATCCAGTATGTATAGACTTGTTTCCCTTTCCTTGGTTTTTTTATTCTTTGTGGATACTTGGTCCACAATAGTATAGATCTATCTTTTTACTTCAAACCAAAGTTTATAGTTTCTTATCAAAAAATAATTTCCACGTGATGAAAAGAGGAGCAACCTAGAGTTTCAATCAACGGCTTCAGATAAATATGTTCACAGGAAAGCATAACCTTGTTCATTATGTGATGAAATGATTAAGGACTACATACCAATATTAACATAAACATCATCATTGACTTTAGCATAAAACTCAGCATCCCAGTTCTCCACAGCATGCACAAAGAAAGATTTTATCTTCCTTGAACGCTCCTCAGGTGTCTCCACCTGACCATCCTGCACAAAAGAAAGAAAGAAAATGCCATGTTAATTTTCACTCGTTCAAATTTGCACGCTAAAGCATATTAAATACTCTTTCAATAAATGAGATAATTACCAGAATATTTAAAAATGTTAATTGGGGGTCATTAGCAGACTAGAAAAAGAGAGAGTATGGAAGCCATATATGTTTATGGATATGCACACATATGCTGCACAAACATAGAAATGAGAAAAAGGGTAAAGGGCTGACATGGCTTAAATGCTATTGCGAGTTAGTCTGGTTCATAGGTTTTTGGTTCTTATAGGCACAAGCTCAAAAGTATCAACAGTTTAATGTAAAAGATACCTCTTACAAGCAAAGTATCAAAGAAACTACATTTTCACTTAGGAAAATGTGAAGCTACTTCAATGATCCAGCATGAGGATTTATCAAAAGTTTAAACCCCAGTAAATAATCTTGAAATAACTTCAATTAACCAGTTGACATACAAGAACAATGAAGTCGTTGTTCTGCCTATTTTCATCGTCAATCTCCCTGTCTGAAACGTTTCCACGATTTGCACTGCAACATGTATGTATAATTTTAACTTAACAGAAAACAATTTTTTTTTCTAGTGTAGATAAAAATCACAAAAAGAGAGACCTTCTTCCGACAACAAATCGCACAATTATACCCTTTTCAACCTCCAGTTTTCTTAAAGTTGCACCTGCACATATAGCATCTCTAGATTAACTAGTACTTAAAGCAATTAAGTTGACATTTATGGTAGCAAGATACTTGGGGAACTTATGAATTTATGAACAATTTGAAATTCCATTGAATAATCATTCAGATAACAAGCAATGCCACTATACCAGAAAAGAATCCATCGTTTCAGTCTAAACATAAATCAATGGACAACTTACATGTAATAAAAGTGTACCTCACAAGCTTAAACAGGAAAGGTATGACAACGAAGAAAGTGAAAGTGTGATGAGACTAACAATACCTTGGTATATAGGAGGAAAAATAAGGGCGCAAACAGAGGATTGAGGGACTCAGGTCAGGCTTTGAGCGTGATGGAGGGTGGTTTTGGGTTTATGGGAAAGTGACAAGTGGCAAATGCTGAGTGGTTGGGGAGCTGAATTCAGTTACAACAATAGAGCACGAAGAATAAAAGGCAGTGGGAAGGATCTGTGGAGGAGGGAATTTTGTAGAGGGAAGGGATTTGGCGAGATCCTGGCTCTCGAAGTCCAGTGGGTTCTTATTGTTGGCAGAATCATCCTGGATGAGCTGCTTTTCTGGTTTAATTGATTATTGCTTTATTTGAGTTGTAAAGAATTGTTATCTTAATAGAATTTAATTTGATCTGTCATTGAGTACAATTATCAAATCTGTCCAGCATTGTTGTGTTCCACTGAGAGTAGTATTTTGATTAGAATTGGTTGACTGAAAATTCTGGGTTGATAACCAGCAGAATTGAAATAATCTGGGAAGTGTCTGTGAGTTGAGCGTGACAGAGGTAGGCCAGGTTTCTATCAAAGTGCAAGTATAACTGGTGTCTATTCATTAGAAAGGATGAACAGACTATATAATACTTAAAATTTATTCTAAAACCTCATAACCAAAAAGTGGTTTCTAGAAGCCGAGAAAGGTATTTTTCCAAAATTCAAAATACAAAGCCAAAAATTAGAACAAATAAACAATTAAAGTCCAAAATAAAGATAATAGTTTACAAAAATATTCTAACAAAGAAACTGCGAAGAAACAAGGAAAGTTACCAGTTGGCATCCATGCCTTTCGAATTGCATCTCTATTTTTCTTGCGGCCAAATGTTGTGATTATTCCTATAACAGCCAAAAGCCTTTTCTTAGAATTTTTGTCCTCTTTCTGAGGCAAGTGATTCGAAACAAAACCTTCCTTTCTAGCTTCAGCCAACTCCATCTGAAGGGCTGATAACTTTTTGCGTTGTTCCCTGACAAACAAAAGAACCATCACCACAACCTTAATACCACAGTTCATCATACTTGACCCAAAAATATTAAAAATAATAATAATAATAACAAGAAAACTACCTGCAGCTTATAATTCTTAGTGTATCATCAACAGATACGGCAGATTGATTCTGAAGTTGATTAATAAGAAAAATCAGTGACATTATCAATTTTTTCTATAAAAATAAATCAACTCAACAAACAAAGTCCAGTTATATACATATCAATATCCCATTAAAACAAATTTGATATAAACTAAATCATCATCAAAATTTTCAATAAAAAAGCAACAAATAATATTACCAGACCAATTCTCTTATCAAGCTCTTTAACTAAATACTCCCTATTCTCCGCATCTTGCCACAAGCTATATAACCAAACACATTCTCATCAAACATTCTTCAAACTTAAAACTCCCAAGAACTTGGAAATAACAAAACGTATATAAATATGAAATTGAAAACTCACCGGCTAGCAACGTAAATTGTAGCCATGGAGGCGAACATGGCTAGCATAAGACCTGCGACTCGAGACTCAAAAGCCGAGTTCGATAGCCGGTTACTGGATCCCCGGCTTTGCATCTCTTCTATATTTGATTATATACACAGAAAGAGAAAAAAAAGAATTTTAAACAATTCTCATGAATATTTTTCTACGTAAATTTGTGCGTTAGATCTAGAGGAAGAGAGGCGTTTGAGATTTTTGAATCTGAAAATGATGAGTGTTTGGTCGATGAATGAGACATCGTACTCATCGATTAAATTGTTTTTAGTTGAGATAGTGTTTTCCGGTTTCATTTACATGTGTTAACTTTTAAATTAACGTGTAAATTGTTTTCATTAATTAATGGGAATAAGCCAATATTGGTAATAATTAATTAATTATCAATTTTCGTCTCATTAATCATGCATTTATGACATTTAAGCAGGATTAGTGGATTTACGAGTATTGAAGTTGATAAGAGAAAATCCAAACAGGGTTTGGAAGATGAAATGGGCGCTATCATTTTGATGGTTCCATCCGGATCCAAAACCCATTGGGCCGGGTTGGTTACCCGCTTAGTCTCCACTAAAAATTGGAAGCTTTCATAAGGGAAGTTTCCTTGTAAACTTATGTCTCTCCACTAAAATTTGGAGGCTTTCATAAGGGAAGTTTCATCATAATAGTCTATTGCATATGAGAGAAAATTATGAGCTATCCGTCACAGATCCCATATTGAAAGTGTATTAGGGAGGTTTTGGGCTTATAAAATGAGAGTTCCTCCACCTAATGGATTAGTCTTTTGAATGTAAAATTTTCAACTCAACTTAGGTATCAAAGCATATCTATACCCGATCCGTCTTTCAGTATCCCACCAAACGCCCATGCATAAGGATATCCACATGTGATAGTGGATTCACTCAAGTGAAATATGGTACCAATAGTAGCATTTTATTTTATGACTAAATCTAAAATAACTCGTGGTAATCAATCGTTAGTGTCATGCCAATGCGCATGACATAAACACGCTTTATAATTGGTTAGTTGTACATCTTTATAAGATATAGATTATTAAACCCATGTGAAGGGATATAGAATATTAAACCTTATTTCATATATGCTATTAGATTAATCTTTGCATTAATTTCTTAAGTGACCCTTATAGTTGATTTAATGGGATATAATAACATTTAAAAATATCAATATTATTAGTTTTATGATATTATGATAATCATGTATTACTTCAAATTTCCGATTTAAATCATATTTTTCTTTTAGATGAGAGAAATCATGTTAAATTACTCTCACAAAAATAATGCCCTTATATTTCGTCAGAGAAATTATACTCACATAAGCCGCTAAAATAATGAACTGATGGGTATTTATGTTATTATTTATATAAAGTAGGCTACTCTTATAATTTAAAAAAAATATTGAGGAACTTATGTAATTTAGAATACTATAGGGGAGATCAACAATATTTCCAAAAACATAAGGAAGCGTTCGGATCCGGAAGATATTCCAAAAAAAAAAAAACAAATAAATAAATAAAAAGAAATAATGGACAAACAAACAAGGGACTCGTGATCATAATTCGCTGATATCCAATTATATCAGAGTATAAAAGCAAAACTCATCTTCACTTGTACAGTCTATAACGATCGGAGGAACTCGAAACTCTTCTCTGATTTTGATATCAATCACATCGAAGATCCGCGAAAATGAACGACGCAGATGTCTCCAAGCAGATCCAGCAGATGGTGCGGTTTATCCGCCAGGAAGCCGAAGAGAAAGCCAACGAGATCTCCGTTTCCGCTGAAGAAGTAAGCCGATCTAGTTCACCGTTATTTTCTATTAATGTTAGAGGTTATAGTTTTTAATAAGAAATACTGAATTTAGATTATGTAATTATGTTGATCTAGGTTGTAATTGTGTTATACATTTATTTAATTAGTTAATTACTTGTGGTTACTTGAAATGTTGTAGGAATTCAATATAGAGAAGTTGCAGTTGGTGGAGGCAGAGAAGAAGAAGATCAGGCAAGAGTATGAGCGGAAGGAGAAGCAAGTCGATATTCGAAAGAAAATGTAATTTATATTTTTAATGAAATTCAAGCTATTAGATTTATGTGTTTTTGCTGGTTTTGATTGCTTCATTTAAGGTTAGATTGGTTGGCTGAGTATTAATGATTATGATTGCTGTTTTGTGCAATTAGTGAGGCTAAACCTTGAGCAAATTGTTCTTGAGAAGGTGGATATTGGAATTTGAATTTAATTAGTTGTTAGATTTTGAATTGTGGGAAATTCGACTTAAATTATGGAGATTGGAAAATTGGTTATTTTGCAGAGGATGGGGCTGTTTAGTGATTTTACTTTTTCTAAAATGGAAAATTGAATGGAAATTGGAAAATTCTTGATTTATTGCTGTTTACTACTTAGTATGCTGAAGAGTGAGATTTAGTTATATTGGGTAATTGATCCATAATCTGGAGATACGGAAAATGGTTTGATGAAAACTGAGTGACCAATTTGAAAAAATTCGTGTTATTTTTGTTGAATAGGTAGAACATTTGAAGAAACTTTGGTTGTCATCTGTTTATTACTTGAATTCTAGTTACCAATGTGTTGTAATGTGATTTTTCGTATTGGTTTGTGGTAGTGAATACTCCATGCAGCTCAATGCTTCTCGAATCAAAGTTCTTCAAGCTCAAGATGACTTGGTTAATTCCATGAAAGATGCAGCAGCAAAGGAGCTTCTGAATGTGAGTCGTGATCACCATTCATATAAAAAGCTTCTGAAGGAACTCATTGTTCAGGTCAGTAGAACTCAAGTTTGTTTTCCTGGTTTTGTATTTTGTCAATCAATTACTCTTTGTAGATTTTACTGACTTAATTTCTTCAAGGATATTATTGAGTTCTATGTGTATGTATTGATCTTCTAGTTTTAGTCTATGGTTTTTTCAGTTGATATTATCTTGAAATACTTTCAATAAAGTTATTGAATGTAATAAAAATAAAAGGGCACCTCAATTAAATTTAGATTCATGTACTATGCCCAGAAAGAAGTTGGTCTGTAAGGTAAATGTGATAAATTACTTCGACATGATTTAGAAAATAAATTTATGTGGTGATTTTTCTGTTGTCTCATTGTTGGCCTGAGTTTTTAGTCCTATTTGTGGCAACTACTGCAAGCTTTTAAATTCTTCTGTGCAGAGTTTGCTGAGGCTGAAAGAGCCTGCAGTCTTGCTTCGTTGCCGTGAAGATGACCGACATTTGGTAGAATCTGTTCTGCACTCAGCGAAGGAGGAATATGCTGAAAAATCAAATGTCCATCAACCAGAGATTATAGTGGACACTCATGTCTATCTTCCACCTGCCCCTAGCCATTATAATGTCCATGGTCCACACTGGTAAATTTTTCTCGGTTGAAATTTGAAGAAATAGCTAGATCTGAGTTACTTATATATGTTGACTAAAACATTGGTCTGACTGAGCTAACCTGTATAGCATAAGTAGAATATTTTTTGCAGCATTTATGAATTTCATAAAAACTAGCACTTTTCATGCATTAGTAGAAGGTTTATTATTATCATTATTATTTTATTTATTTATTTATATATGGGGACTATTGGTATATTATAAAGCAACCTTTGCTGTTTTTGTTAATAACTAATGGCTGGCCAGTTTATGGAACTATTATTGTCCTAATTACCGGAGCTAGCCTTTCTAATTTTATCTTCTTAAACAGTCTTCTCTTTTATTAAGAGAATGGTGATGGAAAAGGTTGCTGATAATAATGTTGGTCTTATTGAACAGCTCGGGAGGTGTAGTGCTTGCTTCTCGAGATGGGAAGATAGTCTTTGAGAATACACTTGATGCACGATTGGATGTTGTATTCCGTAAAAAGCTTCCAGAGGTAATTTCTGTTGTAGAAATCTGTTACTTTTATTATCTTTTTTTTGCTGTTTGCTTTTATTGTAATTACTCATCTCTTAGGGGATACGAAGTTTGTTTGTTTGTTTTCTTTTTTATTTTTTTATAAGAAGGAAGAAACTAACATTATCAAAGATAGGAGAAAATTAACTTTGTTTCTTTTATAAGATAATTGTATTAAAATACAAAATAAAACCAGAGAAGTTAGTTAACTTGTATTTTGATTTTAGAAAATGTAGGAGCTTCTGACACCTTATTTATTCACTGTTTCATGGTTGTGGATCATTTGGTAATTTTGAGATAATTGAAGATTTAGAATATGTGATCAATACTTGATGGTCTGCCTTTTCTTGTCTCCTCCCCCAATTTCTATTGAAAACTGACCTGAGATGACAGACCAAATGATTGGCAGGGTGAAGATACATTGTTACTTGAAATTTTCTCTTGATTTTGGAATGGTTGCTTGCCTCCTCCTGCTTCTCTCTTTACTTTTTTTTTTTAATGAAAAGTATTAGTACTTCATCATTTTATAATCTCGTTCTTGGCAAAGTGTTTTGCAAATATCCGATTGATGGGCTTCTGGATAGGCCAATCATGTGGTGTTAAACATTATAGTTGGGTTTGTAGGTCAATAATATTTGCTATAACTTTACGTGGTGTGTTATGAATAAAAAAAACTTGTTGCTTTATAATTTATGTATATTATCATTATGTAATCCTGCCTTGACAATGATCGTATATGATTGCTAACTTTGTCAATTATATCAACTTTTTACTTGTTACTGCAGATCCGGAAGCGGCTCTTTGGTCAAGTTGTTGCATGATGGGTTGGATAATTCTTTCACCCCTATGATAATTTATGTTCGAAGCTTTAAGATTGGTCCATGACCATAGAATCTATGGTTCCGTATGTTTGGCAAATTTCAATTTTCAGGTTTTCTGCATACCTGTATTTGCAGAAATTAGTGAAATGTTCGTTTAGTTTGGTGCTCATATCTGTGGGGTTTCGCGAGGCACTCATTTTCATATATATAAATTACAAAAATAAATGTGTTGTTCTAATTTATTTTTCTTTTTCCGTTGAATTTTGAGCGTGATTTTAGTTGGTATTTGAAATAAAGACTGAATGGACAGAAACGGAATGCTCTTTCTTGTTTGTCACAGTGATGGCACAGCCAGTCTAGCCGACTAGCCCTATCCCTTCGCTTGATTGCAGTTAAAATTTATTTTTAAAGTTTGTGCGATAATATATAAATACCATGGAGGAACCAAGTTGGAAAGGAACTCATTTATCATTAATATGGACGGTCTTCTAAGTTATAAGGTTAAATTGCACTCTGAATTTTTAAGGGGAGTGTGAATACTTTGAGGAGAAAAGCAAAAACAATTCAAAATGGGTATGTTTTTATACTAAAGAAGACGTTTACAGATCGATAGGTTGGAGTTGGACTCTTCAAATCCAGTTCCATTACATTGATTTGCAACCCATCTTCCTGTTATTTAAGCATATAATAATACATAAAGCAGAGGGAGGCAAATAAATGGCATATTAAAAATATTTGGTTGTTTGCTTAGTGCTAGGAACTCAAGTATTTAAGGTCTCACCTAAAAAGATTTCAGAGGTTTGTAAACTTTACACTGAACATTTCTGATGTCAAATGAGTCAATGACCCGCCAGTCGCCACGGCCATAAATCTATTTTTACTAGAAAGAACACCTGCGTTTCATTAATTCATTATTGGTGAATGAAGTTACCAAAACGACAGCTAAATCAGTTATTAAACATGTAGTAGTAGATTTAGCCATCCAATATATCAATTGCCGACGATGAACACAGCCAACAAGCTGAAACAACAGGTCATAGATAAAGAGTGTCCATCAATGACAGTCATTTTCAGTGGTTTAATACATCAATGGGTAAAAAATTATTTATTAAAAAAAAAAAAAAAAACCATTTTAATGAATCTAGGCAATCTACCGGTCTTTATATGACAAGAGCATAGTGGCCCTTGAAATTAAGTTGAGAAATATAGCAGAGTATCAGTAGATTTTTTCTTTATTGCCAACTTTATAATAACCGAGAGAGTGAGTGGATAGTTGGTAAGATCAATTATGCAGCATTAAATAAAAAATTATATCACATCTCTTAATTNGATAAGAGCATAGTGGCCCTTGAAATTAAGTTGAGAAATATAGCAGAGTATCAGTAGATTTTTTCTTTATTGCCAACTTTATAATAACCGAGAGAGTGAGTGGATAGTTGGTAAGATCAATTATGCAGCATTAAATAAAAAATTATATCACATCTCTTAATTGTTTTGACTTATTTGTTATCCAGCTAGCAGAAATATGATTGAAATGAAATCAATTCTGGATTCTGAAGGAAACTTTGGACCGTTTTCATTTACAAGAACACAGTTAAAAACATGCAAAAAGTAGAAATGGGACCTGCCCTCTTAATTAGAATCTGTCAGGAATGCATTTACGTATTTGATTGCTGTGCGAACTATGATGATTAATATTTGGTCCTGCCAAATAACTTCTGCCAAAGAGCTAAACCGAATCGATCATTTTTGTTCACACAAAATATATTTTTTCGATGTAAAATAGGAAATCCCGGAGTCATAGGTAAAGCCGGGTTCCAAATATTCGGACAGATTGGACAAAGTAGACGTGGAATAAATCACATCTCGTGGCCGGCTGGAAAACAAAGGGCATGGCTTGTTAGTGACCCTTAGATCTTGAATTCAAATCGTAAAAGGAAGCCATCACTTATCATAATTATGCAATTATCTTGATCACATAAGCTAGTAAGTTACTCCATGAGTCCTAAGGACTAGTTTCAGACTCGGATCTCGAGCTTGTCAGTGAACGCTGATACCTCAATTATTATATCACATTTAAAATAATTAATATTATATAAATGTGGATACCTCAATTATCATATCACATTTAAAATAATTAATATTATATAAATTTCTTGTACAAATTAAGGGTTGTTTGATAGGGACTTTTTCGAGTAGAACTTATGGAAAAAGTGTTTATTAGAATAAAACTTATAAGAGTAGAGTTTTAGTAAAAAATTTATTAATTGTTTAGTTAGAAAAATATAAAAGAGTTTTATAATATCATTTACCAAAAAAAGGTTTTAATATCCTATAATAGATCAATTCAAAGTTACAAAATAAAATAAGAATATTTTTGAAATTATTACATTTTAAATTTAAAAAAGAGTTTATTAAAATTCTCCTCTAAGATATAAAATTAGCTTATTTAAAATCTTGTAAGCATTTTTTAAAGAAAATTTGTAGATATGCAACTAATATTTATTTAAATACACATTTGTTATTTCTTTTAGTAATTCAAACATGATCTGTAGAAGACTTTAAATAAAGTAGAATATTTCTAAATTAAAATAAAATAGATACATAATATAATGGGATTGATGTCATATTAATATTTAAATGTAGATAAAATGGTTTTTAATAGAACAGGACAGACATATCTGGTTTGAAGGTGGGCTAGTTTATTTCTTTTGCAGTTATATGTTGACTTCAACTCGTTCCATATGATTATCTCTTGTATGTTATATCAATGCAACTCTGATTCATTTTCAGAAATTCTTAGATGTTGCTTGCCATCAATATGGGGGTTTGATATTTTGAAAGGGATCATAAACATGTTGGAGGTTTTATTATCTGTGTTTTGTGGAACTTGCAGTCATGCAGAAGAAAGAAGATTCAATTCAGTTCATGTGTCATTTGCATGTTTCAAAAATGTCTCAATTATTTCTGTTGATATCCTTGTTTTACTAATGATATTAATCTTCTTCATGCTTGGATTATTCTCCAAAAGGATTGAGAATTCTCTAAATTCTCATGGATTACTTCCAGTGCAAATAACCTCAGCCATTTACAACGTTGTACTGGGGTTGGTCCAGTTGGGACTGGGTTTATGGATTCTTGGAGAGAAAATTGGTGCAAAGAAGACAGTGTTACCTCTATACGAGTGGCTAGTGGTTTTATTTCAAGGCTTTACATGGATGTTGCTGAGTTTTACTGTTAGCTTCAAGCTGCAACAACTTCGACATACCATCATAATGAAGCTTGGTTCAATTCTTGCCTTCCTATTATCCATGTTTCTCTGCATTACATCTGTTTGGGAAGCTATCCGGCAAGAAACAACATCAGTTAAGATGGTTTTGGACATTCTATCTTTTCCAGGAGCAATCTTGTTGCTTTTCTGTGCCTTCTGGGGGCCCAAATATACAAACTACAATCAGGATGTGAACAATCATACTTTATATGCACCTTTGCGAGATGAAGACATCAACACTAGTGGTGAATGTGCCAATGAAGATGACAATGAGGAAGGCCTTGTGACACCGTTTGCTTCTGCTGGACTGCTTAGCAAGATGACATTTTGGTGGTTAAACCCCTTAATTTTGAAGAGGAAGAAAAAAATCCTTGAGGAGAAAGATGTGCCACAATTGTGTTTGGCTGATCGAGCTAAAACTTGCTACTCCTTACTCATAGGGGAATTGAATAACCGGAAGAATAATAGATCATCTGAACATCCTTCTATTATAAGGAGTATAATTTCCTGCCACTGGAAATCTATTTTATCCTCCGGGTTCCTTGCATTGATCAAGGTGATTACCATATCCTCTGGCCCATTGTTTCTCAAAGCTTTCATTTCTGTTGCTGAAGGGGAAACAATTTTCAGGTATGAGGTCTATGCACTGGCCTTAGGACTCTTCTTGGTGAAATGCATAGAATCACTGGCGGGAAGACACTGGTACTTTCAAAGTAGATTGATTGGACTCCAAGTCAGGTCTTCCCTTTGTGCAGCTATTTATAGCAAGCAGCTAAGACTTTCGAATGCTGCTAAAGTAGAGCACACTTCAGGTGATATAGTGAACTATGTTACAGTAGATGCATATAGAGTAGGTGAATTTCCATACTGGTTTCATCAGATATGGTCAACAATTCTTCAACTCTGCATTTCATTAGTAATTGTCTATTACTGTGTGGGATTGGCAACTATCGCAACTATAATTGTCTTAACATTGACGGTATTTGGAAATTCTCCAATCGGCAAACTTCAACATAAGTATCAGGCAAACTTCATGATTGCACAAAATCAAAGGTTGAAGGTCATTACAGAGGCCTTAGTGAACATGAAGGTGTTGAAGTTGTATGCCTGGGAGTCCTACTTCAGGAATGTTATAGAGAGGCTAAGAAGCGAGGAATATAATTGGCTCACAGCACTGCAGCTTCAAAAGGGGTACTACCTAGTGTTGTTCTGGTCGGCATCAGTATTAATAGGGGCGGCGACCTTAGTCACTTGCTACTTCCTGGGGATTTCTCTTAATTCTAGTAATGTTTTCACCTTCCTAGCGATCCTACGAATCATTCAGGGACCTATCAGATCACTTCCTGATGTTTTGGGAGTGTTTATTGAGGCAAAGGTTTCAGTAGATCGAATTGCCAATTTTCTTGAGGCGCCAGAGCTGAAGAATTCAAATATTCGACAGATTATCAATGAAACAGAACTCAAGCCCTCAGTTTTAATAAATTCTGCTGATCTATCATGGGCATCTGATCTTTTGAAGCCAACTCTGAGAAATATAAATTTGGAGATTAAACCTGGTGAAAAGGTTGCAATTTGTGGAGAAGTTGGTGCAGGAAAATCAACCCTTCTGGCCGCAATTCTTGGAGAGCTTCCCAGCATAGAAGGCTATGTAAGTTTTATCAATCTTATCACTGCCTTTTACTCCAGGAATGTTAATATAGATGGTATATTTAATGCAATCCACTTTTTGAGAAATGCTGATTTTGGTTCCATTCTGCTGCCTTAAAACTATATAGTGTTTTGAAATTATTAGAACTTTCAAATTCATTCCTAGACTCCAGTCTGTTCAGGTCTATGAAGTGCTTTGAGAGCGCCTGGCTAAGTTTCTTGTTTTTCCTTCTTTCTGTTGTTCAGATTAAAGTTTATGGAACGGTAGCATATGTATCTCAAACAGCATGGATTCAGACAGGTACCATACAAGAAAATGTCCTTTTCGGAACCGCCATGGATCATTGCAGGTATCATCAAGTGCTTGAAAAGTGTTCACTAGTAAAGGACCTCGAGATGCTTCCATTTGGTGATCTTACTCAAATAGGAGAAAGAGGTGTTAATTTGAGTGGTGGGCAGAAGCAGCGTATTCAACTTGCCCGTGCATTGTATCAAGATAGAGATATCTATCTTTTGGATGATCCATTCAGTGCGCTTGATGCACAAACGGCAAAAAATGTATTTACTGTAAGTTAAAACGCAAGTATTATTCAATGAAACTTCTGCTGTTCGTTTCTTTTCAAGGTAAAAGCTTATACAGATTTTTGACAGGAATATGTCATGGGAGCTCTTTCTGGGAAAACTGTGTTGCTCGTGACCCACCAAGTTGATTTCCTTCCTGCATTTGATTCTGTCTTGGTCAGTTAATGTAGATCAATAAACAATCTTTGGGGTTTCATTTCCCTTGCCAGTTTTTAGAAAACGGGAGATTCAAAGATATAATGTCAATCTGACTTTAAAATTAGAAGCTAAATTAATATGTTCAATATTCTTCGTTTGCAGTTACTATATGAAGGGGAAATCACACATGCTGCTAAATATGACCAGTTGTTAGCCACTAGTAAAGAATTCCAGAACCTTGTAAATGCACACAAAGATACAATGGGTGAAGAAACTCTTCTGGAACTTGCTCCTTCCAAACATAATAAACATTATGATGGAGAAATCAAGAACATAAATTACGAGGAACAGTCGAATGCAGCTGTAGGGGATCAGTTAATAAAGGAAGAAGAAAGAGAAACAGGAGATATAGGTCTTAAACCTTACAGAGACTACTTTAGTCACAATAAAGGCCTCTTGTACTTCTTTTTGTCAAATTTAGCGCACCTTATGTTTTTGGTAGCACAGATACTGCAAAGCTGGTGGTTAGCTGCATACATCAAAGAAGGAAGCACTAAAACTTTGAAACTGGTCATTGTATACTCGGGGATTGGAGTAGTAATGATAATCTTTTTGCTCATAAGATCCTACCTTGTAGCTTATTTAAGTCTTGAGGCATCAGAATCCATTTTCGACAAACTGCTGACCTCTCTTTTCCGAGCGCCAATGGCCTTCTATGACTCAACACCTGTGGGAAGGATACTCAGTCGGGTAAGAGTTATGAATTTAGAAGCAATCTTGCACAAATTATGTTTTTGGAAACTCAAATTTATATTCTTTTCATCAGGTATCTTCGGATTTGAGTATTGTCGACCTCGATCTAGGTTTCAAAGTTCCTTTGGCAGTGGGATCAGCCATGACTGCTATCTCCACCTTTATAGTGTTGTGTGCTCTTTCCTGGCAAGTCTTGATAGTTGTTATACCCGTGGTATATCTGATAATTCTCTTGCAGGTACTGCTGCCACCAAAACAGAATCATTACTACTTTTTGGGATTATTTTTCCAAACAAAATAATTCTTGTGAAACTTGTATTCTTTGGTAAATAGAATTACTACTTTGCTGTGGCGAAGGAGTTGATACGAATCAATGGCACTAGAAATTCTTTGCTTGCAAGCCATCTAGCTGAATCTATTGCAGGAGCTGTGACAATAAGAGCTTTTGAGGATGAGGAGCGATTCTTTGCCAAGAACCTTGACCTTATCGATAAAAATTCTACTTCATCCTTCCACAGCTTTACAGCAAAAGAGTGGTTGATCCAACGCCTGGAAACCTTAAGTGCAATTGTTATTGCCACCTCAGCTCTGTTTACAACTTTGCTTCATCAGGGATATGCGGGGTCTGGTTTGTATCAATATTTAAGAGTTCAAGAGCATGGGTTTAATTCACAGAATGTGTTCTGTCTATGCACTAGAGTACCCTTAAGCTTTGTAGAACACAAGTATATTGTAGGCTTATCAATTTCTGTTGGCAGGTTATATTGGAATTGCGCTATCATTTGGTCTTACAGTGAATGAATTCCTCGTATATTCAGCAAGTGAACAATGTGTTGTGGCAGACCTAATCGTTTCAGTTGAAAGGCTAAATCAGTACATCCATATACCTAGTGAAGCCCCTGAAGAAATAGAAGAAAATCGCCCGCCACCAAATTGGCCTGCTACTGGCAAAGTTGAGATTAATGATCTGCAGGTACGAAAAATGACATCAATTGATTATTCGCCATTCTAGAACTAAAAATTTCACGTTGATGACAACGTCGAAACACTTTCATGCAGATAAGATATCGGCCTAATGCTCCACTAGTCCTCCGAGGGATAACTTGCACATTTGAAGGAGGGCACAAGATTGGGATTGTTGGTCGAACTGGTAGTGGCAAGACAACTCTGATCAGTGCATTGTTTCGCCTGGTAGAGCCTACAGGGGGCAATATCATCATAGATGGTCTTGACATCACTTCAATTGGACTTCATGATCTCCGGTCAAATTTGGGGATCATTCCTCAGGATCCAACTCTTTTTAGTGGGTCTCTGCGATATAATCTAGACCCCTTGTCTCAGTTCACTGATCAAGAAATATGGGAGGTAACATATACCCTTTTGTTCTTGTGTTACGTGGTTGCAGTAAAAAACATTTTGATCAACTTTGGACAGGCAGTGTAGTTAATAGTTGATAACTTGCTAACCCTGACAAAAATAAATTTCATTACTGTCAAAGGTGCTTGAGAAATGTCATCTTCGAGAGGTCATTCAAGAGAAACAAGAGGGGCTGAACTCCTTAGGTATGAAGCATAAGCAAGGTTTTATCATTTATGTATGCTATTAAGATTTTGAACTGTAAGTAATGATCAACAACTCTGTGCAGTTGTACAAGATGGCACAAATTGGAGCGTGGGACAGCGACAATTAATCGGGTTGGGGCGTGTTTTACTGAAGAGATGCCAAATACTAGCGCTTGATGAAGCCACTGCATCAATTGACAATGCAACAGATTCAGCTCTGCAGAAAACCATTAGAGCAGAATTTGTTAATTGCACTGTAATAACAGTGGCACACAGAATACCAACTGTAATGGACTGCACAATGGTGCTTGCAATAAGTGATGGTGAGTTTCTCATTCCAAGGCCTTGTTCTGAAGAAAAAAACATCTAATGCAAATATGAATTTTGATTGAAACAGGGAAAATAGTGGAGTATGATGAACCAATGAAGCTATTACAGAGGGAGCATTCACTATTTGGGCAGCTTGTTAAAGAATACTGGTCTCATGCTGCAAATAAAGATTCTGCCTTATAGTTGCTGGGAAATAAGTAATAAGCTCTAGAAAATTGATCTTGGAGCCTTAAGCAGATAATGTTTTAAGCACTCATGTTTCTATATGATAGGAAAATGATTATATATCTGTATCGACTATTTTTATAAATTCATTTTCTTTTATACAAATTGCTATTACATGTGTATTATTGTTCTTATCAATTTTCCCTATTAGCCTCAGTAATATTTACAAGAAATTTAATTTGTTATTACTATTAGAACAATATTACACATACAAATGTATGTGTAGTATATGTCAACTCATTGCATTTTTCTTTGAGTAAACGACTTTTTTCACCCAAGGTTTGCTTATTGACACTTTCCCACAAAAAAGTTTTAAAATATCACTTTTCCACCCAAAGTTTATATTCCGTTACTATCTAAAGCTGATTCATGCGGCGAAAATTCTCTCAGTCATCACCATGTGAACCTCTAGTCTCCTCTCTACGAAACCCCTCTCATTCCGGCACCTGATTTGTCACCAATTGTCGACCACCACAAAGTTAGGATTTCTTATTCTTATCTGATTTCTGGCTGATTCCAGTGACGAATATTCAATTGGTCACCACAATTCGATCAATCGGTCTCCACTCTACAAAACCCCTCTTATCTTGGTTCCTGGTAACTCGTCCAACTTCGGCTAAGAAAGTGAAGGGTATTTTGAGTACTAACGGAATATAAAGTTTGGGTGGAAAAGTGATGTTTTAAAACTTTTTGGGTGGAAAATTGCTATCAACACAAACCCTGGGTGGGAAAAAGTCGTTTACTCTTTTTCTTTCCCTATTCCATTTCTCTGGGATAAATGTCCAGGACTCTGTGAAGTTCTATGAAACTAGATATCGATCCTTCAATTAATGAGATTAGTCTAATGTTACAAATTCAATTTCAGTTCAATCTAGAAAAAATTTCATCTCAAGTCGAAGGGCTGATGTCTGATGGTGGCTTGGTCAACTGCTTACAGCGCACAATGACAATTTGGTTGGTGGTGGGTGCGTCCCCATCATTGGTCTTTTAACTTTTCCAATTTCCATGTTGCAGATAGAAACAGACTCTCAGCAAAATCCAAAACATGGTAATTGCCAGAGGTCATGATGAAAATTATTAAGGAAGTTAAACCAAACTATTTGCTAAAGCACCGGCAATGACATGCAAGCATACAACAGATATAATAAACAAATGAAGAAAGAGTTATTTGCTGAAGGCCTCGAGATCACTTCTCTATATCCTCTTGTAATCTCAAGTTGTTCATTCTATTGCAACTGCTAATGATTTAGATGGTGTATGCCCTTGTTTCTGTAGTTAAGAAGCTCCACAACAATCGTTCGCGGTATGAAACCGGTACTCCTTGACAAGCTGCCCAAATAGGGAGTGCTTCCTCTGCAATAGTGTTGAAGTTTGAATCCTTTTGGTAGAAGAGGAAGACACAATGAAGAAGAAGAGCGATAAAGAAGGCATGGCCAAAGAATTTCAGTTTTAGATCAAATTGAATTGCAGTTATTTTTAAATTATGAATTTGAATTTCTCTTAACTGCTAAGTGTAGTTATTTAGTTTTATCCCTATTATGTATCGATCGAAGAAAATGAATAGATAATGTTTTCTTCCTCTTCCATAGTTACAACATGGTATCAAAGCTTTTTTTCTTAAGGGACTTGTGACAGTGAAGTTTGGAAAAGACACTTCAACAGAAGATTGGAGGAGAGCCATTCCAACAGAAGATTGGATGGAAAAGAAGACATTCCAATAGAAGATTGGAGGAGAGCCATTCCAATAGAAGATTGGATGGAAAAGAACCACTCCAACAGGAAGATTGGAGGGGGCAGGAATCAACATGTTTGGCAGCAAGATTGGCTGAAGAATGGTAGCAAGATTGGTTGCAAGTTTGGCTTGAAAAGCCATGAAGGTATTAAAGGTCATGCATGAAGTGAAGAACATGCTTTGATGTTCACTACCAAAAAGATTCAAGGAGGAGTGTTGAAGTTTGAATCCTCTTGGTAGAAGAGGAAGACACGATGAAGAAGAAGAGCGATAAAGAAGGCATGGCCAAAGAATTTCAGTTTTAGATAAATCTAAATTGCAGTTATTTTTTAATTATGAATTTGAATTTCTTTTAACTGCTAAGTGTAGTTATTTAGTTTTATCCCTTTAAAACTATAGAAAGGAGAATGTATTATGTATCGATTGAAGAAAATTAATAGATAATGTTTTCTTCCTCTTCCACAGTTACAACAAATAGCTTCATTGGCTTATCATACTCCATTATTTTTCCTGTTAATCCAATAAACCATATCTTCATAAGATATTGATCTCTCACTTCTCAATACAAGATGCTTAAAATGAGAAACTCACTGTCACTTATTGCAAGAACCATTGTGCAGTCCATCATGGTTGGTATTCGGTGTGTCACTGCTATCACAGTGCAATTAGCAATTTTCTCTCTCATGGTCTTCTAGAGAACAAAAAAGCATAAGTATTTGACGTCTCTTCAATAAAACACGCGCCAAGCCAATTAATTGTTGTTGTCCTACGCTCCAATTTGCTCCATCTTGTGCAACTGGACCAAATTGTAGGTTATTACTTTCATTTCAAAGTCTCAAGAACATACACATACCTTTCTTATGCCATACTGATACGTTTACAAGTCCTAAAACACTTGTAAACATGATTGGACAAGGAATTACAAGTCGTAAAACACTTGCTAATTCAATTGGATTGAAGAATTTTACTCTAAGTCCTAAAACATTTGGATTGTGGAATGTGGAAAGCAATGGATAAAATTCGGCCCAAGTAAGTTCCAAGGAGGGAGAGAGTCCATTTTGGCCCAAACCATTCTAAGCGCAAGCTCAACAAGGGAAGCTCAAGCCCACTAAGAAAGAAGTCTAAGTGTTGAAGTGGTCCAATCTAGCCCAAGTCTCATTCCAAAGGGGAAGATCCACATGAACCCTTATTGGATCCATTTGCATGATTCTCAAGACCCAAACTCTTACACCCTTATTAGTAGACTTAATTAGGATCATTGATCAAGTTTTGATCTAATGACATAAGCTTATTTCAACTAATAAGGTGGTTAAAGACATAAATCCTAGAATTAGGGAATTATGTCTCTTTGCATTAAATAGGCATGGCTTTGCTTTTGAATGAATGGTTTGTAATATTAGTTAAGTTTATTTTCATTTTATTGTATTTGTCAATTACTTGTTTATCCTTGTATTTCCCTATATAAGGGCAACTATTTCATTGTAACAATTAGCTTATGAAATATATAAAATTGGTTTATCCGTTTGAGAGAACTTTTGTGTTCTTGAGTGTGCATTCTTTATCCAAGTCTTGGCAAGGGGATTTGGTGGTGAATCAATTCAAGTTGGTGGAGTAATCCTTTAGGCTTGAAGTGTTTCTACTTGTCTTGGTCCGGATTTGCAAGTAATTGTAATTTAGTTCATGTTTTTAATTTGGCCGAATTTCTACTTGATTTTTGGAGTATGTTGTGTTGTTGAAATTGGTTGGAAATGGATCACATACCTAAGGAGTTCAGCCCCTCTTGTTTCTTTTGGATGATCTCGCAAAGATGACATTTGTCAAGCACCTTTGTCATTAAAGAAATAAATTTCATCAGCATTAGCAGATTTATCTACTATTAATAAACTACCAGTCTACAACTAACCACATTGTTTCCTGTAAGTGTTTTTATCCATAAACATATAAAGTTGATAACAAAATTCACAACCGAAAGATTGAAGTTTGAGAACGAAAACAAGATATGGAGGATCATTTATTGTAATCTTATTGCAGTGCTTATGATCTCTGGAATAAACTTTTGGACCAATTACTGTTCTGCAAATACATAACAAATTTTGATGTAAAAAAGAATAGACTACTAAAGCTCACCTCCCATATTTCCTGGTCTGTAAATTGTGACAAGTGGTCTAGATTGTATTGCACGGGCCCATTAAAAAGAGTTAGATCCTAGGGAATGATCCTAAATTTCGACCACAGATCATGAAGGCCAATCGAAGTGATGTTTAGGCCATCAATGATTATCCTTCCCCCTTTTGGCTCTACTAGGCGAAACAATGTGCTGATCAGAGTTGTCTTGCCACTACCTGTCCTACCAACAATTCCTATCTTGTGACCTCCTTTAAATGTACAAGTTATCCCATGGAGAACAAGTGGAGCATTAGGCCAATACCTTATATGATAGAAAGCATTGTTTTTGAAGGAATCATCGATATGAATTTTTTAGTCTTAAAGTGGTAGAAAATCGGTTGATGTCATGTTTAATACCTGCAAATCATAGATCTCTACTTTACCAGTAGCAGGCCAATTTGGTGTAGGATGATTTCCTTCTACAACTTCAAGTGTTTCACCTGTTACGTAGGCATATTGATTTAGTCTTTCAACTGAAACAATAAGGTTTGCCACAGTGCACTGGTCGTCTACTAAATTTACCATGAAAATATTCACTGAAAGACCAAATGATAATGCCATTCCTACGTATCTTGCCATCAAAAGATTGATAACCCTATTATATGAGTCAACATTTTTGTGCCATCAAAACTAATTATTTGAAGCGAAAATGAACAAATTTTGTGATTTGACAATATTTATCAGTGAATTCTTATGTAATATTGATAAAAAGAATTCAAAAGGTTTACAATTATTTGAAATTGAACAATGTAATAGTACAAACCAGAGCCCATTATCCTTGATACAGCAAAGTTATGAAAAGAGCTGAGGCGGCAAGAACAACTACACTTAAGTTTCTAGTCATTGGATCAACCACTCTTGTGCTATAAAACTGTGGAAGAATGAAGTTGAATTTGTATCAATAAGTTTCAGGTTCTTGGCAAGGAGTCGATCTTCATCCTTGAAAGCTTTTATTGTCATAGGTCCAGCAAAGGATTCAGCTAGATGGCTCACAAGCAAAGAACTTCTTGTGCCATTGATTCACATCAACTCTTTTGCCATAGAAAAGTAGTATTTCTAATTTTCCAAGAATACAAGTTTCATTAGAATTATTTTCAGAAGCAAAAAGAATCATAGTAAGGAATAATGATTCTGTTTTTCAGTGAGTAGTACCTGCAAGAGAATTGTCA